CCTTAATGACGATGTACCTTAGGTGGGAACTTGGGGGCCTGTTTCCCTCTACTCACTATGCACGTTTTCCTGGACAATTAAGTCATACTTTACCTTCACCTCAGTCTGTTTTCTGAGGCTGTAACAAAATTTCAGGGGTTGGGAACTTCATCAAGAACAGGGAATTATTCAGCTCTCAGTTCTGGAGCATCAGGGGTATGGCTCTGGCATCTGTTCAGTCCCGGCAAGTGCCTGTTACTAGATGATGTCACGGTGTTAAGAAAAGGACAGACCACATGGTGAGACAGGAGGCCAGAGGGACTCAAAGGCCACTCACTTTTTTTTATTTTAAAAAATGTTTATTTTTCACCCAATTAAAAGGCAGAGTAATACACATAACAGATTGAGAGAGACAGAGAAGTATCGCCCTTCTGCTTGTGCAGGCTAAAGCAAGGAGCCTGGAACTCCACCCCAGTCTCCGTGTGGTTTCAGGGGTCCAGGCTCTTTCATGTTCACCTGCTGGCTCCCAGGAAGCACTGGCAGGAAGCTGGGTGGGAAGTGGAGCAGCTGAAACTCGAACCAGGTCGTAGTCTGCTGTGGTCATGGCAAGGTGTGTCTTACCCTGCTGTGTCACAGCACTCACTTTTTTTTTTTTTTTTTTTTTTTTTTTAATAACAGCCTGCTCTGTGAGAACTCACTCTGCGAGATCAGCGTCGATCCCTTTTGAAGGCAGCGTCCCCAGGTACTCACCCTACATGGAGGCCCCACCTCTAAAGCCTCCATTGTGACAACGCCATCTTGAGGATCAAGCCTCCAGCACTTGAACCCTGGGTGATGCACTCAAGCCACAAGCAGACCTCCTGAAGCTTCCATCAACTGCATCTTCATGCCCTGTTCCTGCTGATAAACCATCCAATTTTTCAAGGAAAATGGAAACCAGAGAACTTCCACAAGTTTCTGCCCTCCATGGTCTTTTCTTCCACCTCTGAATTCCTCAGTCATGTCTGCCATCTTGTCTGTCTGCCATCTTGTCTGTCTGCTCTGCCTGTTTGTTTTCAGTTGGTTTGTAGGAAGACTTTATTGATTCAGGAAATAGTTTCTGTCAGATGCATTACAAATATCCCTCACAGTCTGTCACTTTTCTTCTGACTTTCTTCATGTTATTACTATTATTTCATCATTTCTTACTTTATTCATGTTGTTATTATGATTTTTTCCATGCAGAATCTTTTGATTCCTAGATAGATGAATTATCAGTTTTTAATTTCTTCCCTGGTGTGCCAGTTTTTGTTTTTTCTCATTAAAATTCCTAAGATTCCCCTACCCCCATATTTCTTCCAGTAATTTTATTTTATTTATTTATTTATTTTTTCATTTTAGAAGTTGTATCTGGCCGGCACCGTGGCTCACTAGGCTAATCCTCCACCTGCAGCACTGGCACCCCGGGTTCTAGTCCCGGTTGGGGCGCCAGTTCTGCCCCGGTTGCTCCTCTTCCAGTCCAGCTCTCTGCTGTGGCCCAGGAAGACAGTGGAGGATGGCCCAAGTGTTTGGGCCCTGAACCTGCATGGGAGACCAGGAAGAAGCACCTGGCTCCTGGCTTCAGATTGGCGCAGCATGCAGGCCATATCAGACATTTGGGGTTTGAACCAATGGGAAGGAAGACCTTTCTCTCTGTATCTCTCACTGTCTAACTCTGCCTGCAAAAAAAAAAAAAAAAAAAAAAAAAAAAAAGTTGTATCCATATGGAAATTTCTGTGTTTGTAAAGTGTGAACTGTGATGCAATCTCATTATTTTCTAAATTAATTTTTAGGTGTCCCAATGCCATTTATTGAACAACACAACTAGGCCTACATGTAAACTGTCACAAATCTCATATACCATGTTGATATATTTCTGCCCTTTTTATTCTCTTCATTTATGTGTCTCTCTGCTTGTAGATAAGTCTCCTCTTCTTAAAACTTTCTGCTTTATAATGTGTCTTAATCCATGGCAGGGTTAGACACCTAGCTTCTCTCAGAATTCTAGCTTTGCCTTAGATGACCTTTACAACCAGGTTGTTTGGTTCATATAGAAATCAATAAACAACAAATGTTGCTGAGAATGTGGGGACAAAGGTACCCTAATCCACTGTTGATGGGAATGTAAATAGGTAAAACCACTATGGAAGACAGTATGGGTATACCTCAAAAATCAGAATATAGACCTAGCATATGACCTAGCCATCCTACCTCTGGGAATTTACCCAAGGGAAATTAAATCAGTAAACAAAAGAGCTATCTGCACCCCCATGTTTATTGCAGCTCAATTCACAATAGCTAAGACATGGACTCTACCTAAATGCCCATCAACAGAAGACTGGATGAAGAAATTATGGGATATGTACACTATGGAATACTACACAGCATTAAAAAATGAAACCCAGTCATTTCCAGCAAAATGCATGAATCTGGAAAACATCATACTTAGTGAAATAAGCCAGTCCCAACTGGACAAATGCCATATGTTTTCCCTGACTTGTGAGAACTAATAGCACACCTAAAATGAAATCTGCAGAAGTGAAACTGACACTTTCAGAAGTAATGACTTGAACAATCCTTGTCTTGACTGTCAAGGAACAGTTTATTTTTATTTTTATTTTCTTTTCTCTTCTTCATACTATATGTTGAACTCTTTACTTAACATAGAGTTAATCATGTATATAAAGTCAATTGAAACTAGATATCAGTAAAAAATAAGAGGAGGAATAGGGGGAATAAGAGAGGGAGGAGTAAGTTTGTAACTGTAAAGATGTATTGTTCTGCATACATTCCTATGGACTTACTTCTAAGGATAAATTTAAAGACTTGTCATGGTATTCCAAATCCCATTAAAATTTGGCAAAAATGCCATCTTAATTGTTAAAGTGATGATATTAAATGTTAAAGTGAATATAGATAGGGTTAAGTGTTAAAGAGATCATATAAATGGCATCAAGTGCCTGGTAATAATAGACAGAATTAAAAAGGAGGTAATGTTCAACTTTGAAAGCAGTGCACAGCAGACTCATAGAATGGCAATTGATTTAAGTAACACTCTGACCTCAGAATCAGCCCTTAAGGCATTTGGATGTGGCTGAAAACCCCATGAGAGCATTTCAGGCATGGAATACCAAGACACTGTGGCAAGAAGAAAAATAGAAACAAGTCTGACCTATGAAGGTTCTCTGTGAGTGAAACCCCCATGGAAAGAAGGGGCCATCAAAGAAGGATGTACCTTTCACTGAAAGGAGGAGAGGACTTTCACTTTGCTCGCAGCCTTGTCTAAATACTGACAAAATTTGTGGTCACAAAAGGCTTCCGTAGTCTTGGTAGATCATGGCAAGAGCCTCGGGTGATCACTGATGTCAGAAATAAGAGTGTCGATTGTTAAATTAACTACAGAAGTCACTGTGCACTTACTCCCCATGTAGGACCTTTGCCCTTAATGGGTTGTACTATGAGAATAAACTGCAAAACTTGTTCTCAAACAGTATTTTACATGTTGTGTGAGTGTGTGGTACAAACTGTTGAAATCTTCACTTAGTATAGAGTTGGTCTTCTGTGTATAAAGTTAATAGAAAATGAATATTAACGAGGAATGGGATGGGACAGGGAGTAGAAGAGGGGATGAAAGTGGGGGTGGTAGTGTGAATATTGAGGGAAGAACCATTATATTCCTAAAGTTGTATCTATGAAATTTGCATTCACTAAATAAAAGCTTTAAAAAATAAAATAAAACAAAAAAAGGCAGATGTTTTCTAGTGTATCATTCATCATTCTTGACTAAGACACTCTGCTGAGCCCATACACCGGTGTGATCACTAGCACCAACAACACATGCTGAGACCCCAGGAGAAGGGAGCAGGTCTTCTCCATGCCCACTCCCCCTTGAGCCTGGGGTGTGTCACAGCCCCAGATGGAACATGTGTGTGTGAGAAGCCAGCACAGGATTCCTGCAGCCCTGGGAGACACTCTGTGGCTGGGGATGAATTCACAGTCCAGATTCCTCAGAGAGGTCAGCGTCAGTCTGTGGTTCTGACCCAGAAATGAACCAGTTCTTCCTCCTTCCATAGCTGGTGAATCTCAAACACTGGGATTCAGGGTGAGATCCAGGAAGCTTGTCTTGAGTTCCTTTGACTGCCAGTGATTTGAAGTTTCGCTGTCTTTGATCAGTTCTCTCTATTGTCTTAAACTGTCCTCTGGGTCTCTCTGCCTCAGTGGCAGAGCATTCGCCCATAACAAAATGCATCTGGCTCAATCCCCCAGTTGCTGGGCTCTGGGCACAAACTCACCATGACACAGAGGGCTGTCCTGATTTCCTTATTTTAAATTGCACTTTGTTCCTTGTGGAGATCATCATCCCTCTTCTTCTCTTTATTTTTCTAAATAAATGTCACAGTCCAGACATCTTGATTATTTTGGATAGTATTACAAAACACTGGGGAGATTTAAATAATACAAGTTGATTTCTTACAGCTCTGCAGTCTGGAGAGTCCATGGTGAGATGTGGCAGATACTGATGGTGGCTTTCTTTCCTGAGGACAAGCAGCTGCCTGGGCCTCACTTGGACAGCACCAATGCCACTCATGGGGGCCCTGGCTGTACCCTCATCTGCACTGATGTGCACAGCCATGTGAGAAATCTGCCAGGAAAAAGGAGATTCATTCCTCCTAGGTGGCTCTGTGTTGAGGTGGATTCGTTCTGAGAGGAGGAGTGTGGTGGGGGCAAGAGGCGTGAAGTCACCACACAGCCCCCGGGAGTCAGGTGAAAGCGGGCCTGAGGCGAGCACCTGGCAGACTCCTTTATTTCAGTTGGTACAGCAGCTTAAATAGCCAAGGCAGCCAATCCAGTCAAGGGGCAGTTTATGCCCTAACCAATCACAGCCTGTTGCCAGGTGGTATCTGAAGCCACCCAATCACAGCTTGTTGCCAGGCAGGCTCCATTGCCAGGAAGGTTTTGAAGCCATTCCTGAGTAACTGACACTCACTTGCCAGTGGCCATCTTGGCATGGCCTTCTCATTCCACTGCAGCTCTGGGTTTGGTCTTCTGGTCATTCAGAGAGATGGCCAGGGCTGAGGCTGTGATCTGGACAGTAGTGACAGTGCTACTCCTGTCCACAGGATCCAGGGCTGTGAGGTGAGGAGGTCGTTCCACTCCCAAGCACTTTGCCTCATAAAGACTGCTCTGAGCCCCAGCTTCCTAAAATCTCTGGATGTAGCATGAGAATGATGGAAATGGAGCCATTCATGGCCAGGAGACACTGTATATTTCATGAATTTGTTTGGTAATTTTACTAGAGAAGTAAATGACCACTGCAAGATTGAAATCCTAGTAATATTGTTACAAATTAGTTACTTATAGATCTCATAATTATATGTAAATTACTACATAGTGTATATATTAATATGCATATTAGATACCATATGTAATTGTGTATAGTTTATATATTTCTATAATAGGGTATATGCACAGTATCTATTCATGTGTTATTATAAATATGGCATTCAATTACATGTTGAATATACAATTCAGAATAATAAAACTTAAGCTACAACCTAAAATAACTATTACTTTCTATGTATTTATTCAGGTCTTGATTGTTTGTAATTCTTTCATTTAGAAAATTCTCTAAATCTAAAGCTGAGGACACTCCCTTACAGAGAACTGACAGAGCCAGAGGTGCACCTGAAGGATTAGGCACTGGAGACTGAGGTCCTCACTGGCTGCCCGAGGTCAGCTCAGGCAGCCTCAGCCCCCCTGAGAGGGGCCTGCAAACTCAGACCAAGTGTGGCATCTGTGGTGGGATTCCCCAGCTGAGAACCAGGCTCCCAGGACCCTCACTCTGGCTCCCCTCCCCTCTCTAGGGGACCTGCTCCTGATCCAGGCCTAGTATCCTCTCTCTGTCACTCCCACCTCCACCTGGGGAGGATCCCTTCTCTGCCCCTGATCTCTTCAGTACAAGACCCTGGTTCTGGTTCTCTTGGTCAGGAAACAGGAAACTCAGCTCAGATACATGGAGTTAGAAAACCTTTGTTATTAATCTGAGTACAAACTTAAGGAAAACCTGACAGATAAAAATTGATGGGCTTGTTCACTCTCCAGGTGTCAAATATCTTCACTCGTGTTTACACTTGAAGTAATACATGTGAATGCTCACAAACCATTTTACCTTCTGGTTCTTGTTAAATCATTTTCAAGTTATTAGTTTGATTTTAGTAAAAACAAATAGAGACTCCTACATTATCTAAATCCTGAAATGATAACACGAGATTGTAATTATTTTTATGAACTCTAGGCCTTTATAACCTGACAAGTTCAAGCATCTTCTGTGGATATCCTTCCTTTTTTTTTTTTTTAACTTTCAACACCTGCTTTGAGACTAATATTGTAATGGCTGCTTGTGAGAATACAGGTGCTTCTCAGACTGCTGATTTGATTCTTCAGGGTAGGTGAGCCACCGGCTGGCCGTGAGGTGCTACTGTGGAGTTGTCTGCTCAAATATGAGGGGCTCTTTGGTCCCTTAGCTCATGCTCTCTCATCCCTCACAGATGACCGAGAGATTGGTACTTTGCTGAGATCCCCAGTCACCTTACTTGTAGCACAATTAGCTCTAATCCCACTGCAAGGGAACCACAAGAACAAGTCAGTTTGTGAGCCTTCCCTGTGAGTTTTGCAAAACTGTGGACTTCCTTCCCCATAAACTCCCTGTCTCCTGTCTGGTGAAGAAAACCTGACGGTTGCAATGTGTGCTGTGGGCAAAGATGCTGTGCCCACTACAGCTTCTGTTGCCCACTGGAGGTTAACACAACCACGGACTTTCCCCATGTGCTCACACCACCACTTCTAGTATCCTCTCAAGCAGCTTCCAGGTCTCTACAGGTGACCACTAAATCCCTAGATCCTAATACCAACACCTGCCTCTTGTTCCAAACAAATACCTCAATTTGCCCATTTGCTGGGCTGAGACTGTGCCCACTTCTGCTAGTGCTGAAATTGATTAGTCCACCAAACATGCACTCACTGTCCCCATAGGATGAGATCCTGCCCCAGAGATTTGGCACAGCCACCACTGTTACAAGCCTTGAGACACCTCACATCTCCTTGGCTTGGAGGTGGACACTTTGTTTCTCATTCAGTTGCTCCCAATCCTTCACAGATGATACCTCCCAAATCCATAAAGACCAGAGCCATCCTGAGTCTCTGTCTTTGTGCAGAAGATGGCGTGAGCATCCTGGTGACCACATTGACTGTGGGCTAGAGCACAATGCACCATTGCCTTGTCACCATCCATTCATTCCTCATTTTCCCAAAACCTGTGCTACTCAGTTCATGGTGAGGTGGAACTAGAAAGTGAAATGTGGCACATTCTGAAAAGTGCACTGGTTGCCCTAGGACTTGTCCTCCAGATAACAAAGGGTCGGCCTCATGAGGTGAAGCCTGTGCATCCCGGGTCCCAGGCACACGTGTTCATCCCAGTCATGCTGGATACAGGTCAGTCAGCTTGTGTTGGTGTGGATACCAGGTCTTTGAGCTGTCACCTTGACTGCCTGATATAGGAGACATAAAGTATCATGCAGTAATCTCTTGGGCCTTGGTCCAGATGCACTGGTATTTTCACCCTAGTCTCCTTAACAAGGTATATACTGTAAAGTGCAGGTCCAGGGTTTCCAGCACACTGTAATACTCTCTTGCTCCAAGAGATTCAACCTGGGAAATGGCTTAGGCACCACGGGTCAGCCCTACTAAGAGTGCTGGAGAAACCATAGTCATTGCTGCCTGGGCCTGGGCAAGGCTGACCAAGGCAGATGTGAAGTTCTCTGCTGAGCCCTGTCTTACTGCAGCTTCACATAAACTGCCCAACTGTCCTTGTCCCAGAGTTGTTTGATTGCCCAACAGGAAGTAGTTCTGTAAATTAGGACATTCGCCCCAGGAGATCCTTAAATAGGAGAAGTCCTGTGCTGCATGTGTGTGGTGCCTGCTGCTCCGGGAGGCCTGGGTCAGAGGACTGCTGCCTGCCCCTCTCTGCTCATTCCATACAGCCTGTAAGTACTCTGTGTTGTGATGGTTTTGTCATTGCAGCCCAGCATCAACCTGACCCCTCAAGGTAAGGCTTACAGTGGTGGAACCCAAGGCTGTAGAGCCCGTGCTGCTCTCCTAGTGTGGTCCTCTGGTGGGTGCTGGAGACAGGAGCCGCCAGGTGGGCTAATAGAGAACCTCAAGAAGTTTGTCCAAACATACACATTTTACTTGACATGCGCAGTGGACACAACAGCAGCTTCTTCAAGAGATCTTTTATTTCACAGAATGTCCATTCAGGATCTTTGTGATTTTCCTACCAGGTTGTATGCTTTTGGCTATTGAGTTCTTTAAATTAGTTCTGTACTTTGCATGTGAACGTTCATCAGAGGTGTGGATTGCAAATACTTTACACCTGTCCCTAGGTTGCTCACCCCCACTCACTTGGAATCCTGCTCTCCCCTCCTCCAGGTGCCTCCCAGCCATGAGGACCCTTGCTCTGCTTGCTGCCATTCTCCTGGTGGCCCTGCAGGCCCAGGCTGAGCACATTTCAGTGAGCATCGATGAAGTCGTAGACCAGCAGCCCGCACAGGCAGAGGATCAGGACGTGGCCATCTACGTTAAAGAGCATGAGAGCTCCGCTCTTGAAGCTTTAGGTGAGAGATGCAGCGCGGCAGAGCTGCACAGACTCAGGGGAGGAGCGGGACACGGGCCCTGGGACAGCCTGGGAGAGCAACGGAGATGATTTCACATAACCTCCCAGACCCACAATTTCTCAACTGCTAAGTGAGCATGGCAAGCCCAATGAATCTGGCACGTTCTGCAAAGACTCCTGAATGTGAGAGATGTGTGTGGTATTCTCTAGGTTTAAACATGGACAGACTCATTACTGATTTGTCTGTATCTAAATGTGCAGAATTCTTGGAGAGGAGCATATTGAATACAGTCTATAAGAGGAGGTTTAGAATCTGGAGGCAGGAGCAAGGCTGTGCTCAGATGCGTGTGTGATGGGGCCAGAGCACACAGGAGTGAAGACACTGAGAATGAGTCTCGGGTTCTGTGGGACCAGCACTTGCTGTGGGTTTTGTTGGTTGTATTGTCCATGTTGTTGACTGTCCTAGAGCCAAATAACGAATCCAGTCAACTCACAGGAAAATTCTATAGCATGTTCGTTGCTACCCTCCCTGACCCCCATGCTCAATGCTTTATGCTCCTCCTGTGTCCACAGGTGCAAAGACAGGCGGGCGCTGTGTTTGTAGAAAACAGCTCCTCTGTTCATATCGGGAACGTCGCATCGGGGACTGCAAAATCCGTGGTGTCCGCTTCCCGTTCTGCTGCCCTCGCTGAGCATGAGGAGCAGAGAAAGCGAGTTCCTTGTTTGCCTTGAGACGACTCCTGTGGCACATCCTTTTCTTTCCTACTCAAATAAAGACCTTTTAGTGAATATTATGTGTCTGTGCTCCTTTGAAGTGCATGTGTATATTAGTTCAACTCTTAGAAATGCATGACCCAAAACTCTTAAAACTGGCTCCAAATTCCTCGTTGAACTGAGATTAATTCAGGCTTCAGGAAAAAAATGATCAGAAAGCTCCTATCTGGTTCTGATCTCTCCACTGACCTCTATTTTCTCTTCCTCTGCCTTCATTTAAATGAAGGCTCTGGGCTTGGTTTGCTGGTTAGTCGGAGAGATGGGCCAGTGCTGAGGCTGTGAGGTGGGCAGCAGTGACAGTGGTGCTCCTGGCCACAGGAGCCAAGGCAGGGGTGAGGCAGGGGGCTCCACTTCCAAGCGCACTGCCTCATGAAGCCTGTTCTGAGCCCCAGCTTCCTAAAACCACGGGATGTGGTCTGATATTGATGGAAATGGAACCATTCAAAGCTAGAAGACACTGTATATTCCATATACATTTCTTTGGTAATTTTATTAGAAAAATATTTGACAAAAGGAAGAATGAAATCCTGATAATAATCTTACAAATTATTTATAGATTGCATAATTATATAATATACTACATAGTATATATATATCAATATAAGATTTTATATCATATGTAGTGATGTACAGTTATGTATTTCTATAATAGGGTATATGCACAGTATCTATTCATGTGTTATTATAAATATGGCATTCAATTACATGTTGAATATACAATTCAGAATAATAAAACTTAAGCTACTACCTAAAGTAACTATTACTTTCTATGTATTTATTCAGGTCTTGATTGTAATTCTTTCGTTTAGAAAATTCTCTAAAGCTGAGGACACTCCCTTACAGAGAACTGACAGAGCCAGAGGTGCACCTGAAGGATTAGGCACTGGAGACTGAGGTCCTCACTGGCTGCCCGAGGTCAGCTCAGGCAGCCTCAGCCCCCCTGAGAGGGGCCTGCAAACTCAGACCAAGTGTGGCATCTGTGGTGGGATTCCCCAGCTGAGCACCAGGCTCCCAGGACCCTCACTCTGGCTCCCCTCCCCTCTCTAGGGGACCTGCTCCTGATCCAGGCCTAGCATCCTCTCTCTGTCACTCCCACCTCCACCTGGGGAGGATCCCTTCTCTGCCCCTGATCTCTTCAGTACAAGACCCTGGTTCTGGTTCTCTTGGTCAGGAAACAAGAAACACAGCACAGAATCAGGGAGTTAGAAAATATTTGTTATTATTCTGAGTACAAACTTAAGCACAAAACTTCCATATAAAAATTGATGGGTTTGCTCACTCTCCAGTTTAAACCACCATCACACGTGTTTACACTTGAAGTAACACATGTGAATGCTCACAAACCGTTTCACCTTCTGGTTCTTGTTAAATCATTTTCAAGTTTAGAGTCTTCTACATTATCTAAATACTGAAACGATAACCTGAGATTGTGAGTATTTTTATGAACTCAAGCCTTTGTTACCTGATGTTGTCAAGCGTCTTTTGTGAATATCCTTTGTTTTTCCTTAGAACACCTGCTTTGGGGACAACCTAATGGTTTTACATAGGGATGAGAGGAGCCTCTCAGATAGGGAATTTGATTCTTCAGGGCAGGAGAGCCACCTGCTGGCCATGAGGTGCTACTGTAGAGTAGTCTGCTCAAATATGGTGGACTCATTGGTCTGCCTTGATGAGTGAGGACATTTCCGTGTGAGAACACACAGAGAGGGTGCGCTCTTGGCCTGAAAAGACAGCATTCCCACAGAAACTCTGAGTTGCTTAGCTCCTGTGTGTGCTTAGATGTGAGCACGGGGGTGGAGTTAACAAGAGAAAGAGAGTGACCCGAGTTTAAGATCCTCATTACTGCAGATCATCTTGGAAGTCATTAACTCCTCAGGGACTGCAAGGCCTGATGGCTAACGTGAGGGGTTGTACTGATCTTGTGTTTCACTTGTTCATGCAAATCAGGATCCGAGAGCATTGAGCCCTTCACACCAGGGCTTGGACTTCAGTCCCTGCAAGTATGTGAGTATGGGGCAGGGAAAGGAGAGGAGGGAGAGAGGGAAACCATGAAACTCCCTAGTTGTCCTCCACACACTTGGAGGTTCTACTAACCTAGAATTCCCATGTGCACTGCTTGTTCCATCAGATTGCTGGGGTCAATGAATAGTTCATGTTACAGTGAAACACTGGTGAGCCTTCCCCTTCTCCCTGTGCCTTGGTAGCGATCAGTGGCCATGAGTGTTACCTTCTTGCTTCTCCTCCATTCAGAACAGTCTGCACAAGTTGACCATATAAAGCTAGATTCTTCCTTTAGTCCAGGATATGCAAGTCCATGGAAAGATATTTCCCTTATAGAAAGCTCAGGGATCTGGATCATAACCCTGGGGGAAGATTTCCTCATGAGAGTGTTATTGTCTTCTTCATGGATAAATGGAGCCAGGTCATAACTGCAGGTCACACTGGAAGGCAGAGTGTTAGCTGTGGGGGACAAGGTTAACCAGAAACTTTCATGGGGGTTATAATATCATCTCACATTTGGGTAAATTCAGATCAAATTCAAGCAAATATGAAATGCAGGCATTAATGCACTGATGATGAGTTATCCTACAGTTAAGTGACCACCTCCAGAAGTGGCCATAGAGAGTTCCAGAATTCTTTCATTCTGTGTATATATCAGCAGTGGGATTCAGGAAAAACCTTATGCCATCACTTTTCTGAGGCCCTGGGAGAAGAAGACTCTGCCCTGGATCATGTGGTCCATGAACGGTCAAGTGTCTTCTAGATCAGAAGTTTCAGTAGAACACACTCACTGCAACCCATCCCACCAAGATTGTTATTCAGCATATCTGAGTGAGATTGGAGATTGCATATTTCTAGCATATTCCCTAGTGTCACAAAAATTTCTGCTCCAAAGATCAGCCTTTGATTGTGGAGGTAACGTTGCTCCAACATGTCTGCCTGTAGCAGCAAGAACAGGTCTCAGGTCCATAACTCCCTCAATGCCGGCCCCCTGGCTCATTCCTGAGTGACCCTCCCTGTTAAATACCTCCCTTCTTCTTAAGATTCTTCTCATGCAGGACCTCCGCCTTTAATGAATTATACTATGAGAGTTAACTGTAAAATTTATTTTGAAACTGTTTTGTGTGTGTGTGTGTGTGTGTGTGTACAAAGTGTTGAAATCTTTACTTCATACAGAGTTGTCTTATCCAGAGACCGAAGCATCTTGCTACCATGTGAAGACCATCCCCAATGCCATAAGGTCTCTTCCTGCTCAGCGAAGCTTCTCCACTGGGAGCCAGATTGGTCACCCCCGAAGCCAAATTACTATGCAGCTGGAGATCTTTCTGAGGTGAGGGTGGTGAATTCCCTGGGAGACAAACACCACAATGAGTATCATCCCCATCTGAGTAAGAATGTGAAAGTTGGAGTTTTTGCAAGTCAATAAAGTGGAACTCACCTTCCTTGAGAGGTGAAGCAACCATCACTTCTCCAGGAGCCACTGTCATAAGGAAGCACTTGGAGCAAACAACTCAGAATTTCACCTTAGATCAGTGGCAACCCTTCCAAGACCAGAACCGACCAAAGAGTGCATTCAGCCTCAGGACAGTGGAGCCCACACTGCCTTGCAATGTGATCTGAATTCACCAGTCAAGATCTCCAGGGTAGATGAGGAAGCAAAATCCTGACCAGGAAAGGGCCCTGCTGCATGGGGCAGCTGGGCACATCACTGAGCAGGTTGCCATGAATCCTGGCAACCTCCCTTGTCCGGGAGGAAGGAGCAAACCTCCCAAGAGGAAGAATAAACATGGAAAGAGGCCTCTGTTGCTGTTCGGTGATTTTAGTACAAATGTACTTCACGAGTATGTGGTTGGGTGATAGTGCAGAATTTAAGTGTTTGTATTTGCAAGTGCAAAGTGTTTGCATGTATTATTTGTCCTAGGTGTGAATTGGAATCTTACATTTGAATAAAATTTATGCTCCTTGATCATTTATAAGTGATGAGAGACTGTGTTTTGTGTGAGGCCACAATGTTGGATTTAGATGTGAGCTTCATAGCATGTCACTAAGCAATTGTTGATATTAGAGGCACAGACCTCTGCTTAATGATGGGATTCTGATGAAGCTGAGAAAGATGGGGAATAATGGCTTCCTTCTCCTTTGGCTACAAGCAATCATGCCTCATGCTTTCCTCTCCATCACCTCTCATGGAAGTCTTGGTGACAGATTTCTCTGAGTCAATAGTGAGGGCGATCCTCATGGCCCTCTCTCTTACCACAATGCCATTGCCTCAGGTTGTCCCAGGCCCCAGGAGCTGCGTTTTACACAGGATGAGCTTCTGGAAATTAACCATTGTCTTTAAGCCTCAACTACATTGTGTGATCACCCCATGGTACTGAACAGGAGCCCTTCATCCTCCAGAATCACCAGTTTGCCTAAGGAAATTCTGGAGTCCAGAGACTGATCTTGGCCTCCAGAAAAGGACACTGTTGGCATAGAAACATGGCATTAAAACCAGATGCATTTGAGGTTCTAGGACAGCATTAGACCATCGGAACCTCAAAAGATATGGGGCCCCTTTGTTGCCATGGGAAGACTGAGGCTGCCATGGAATGCAGGGAGACTCCCACACACCTCCACCACCTAAACCATTTGAGCCCTTGAGAAAGTCTGCAGACATCTGCTGCAGGCCTGTGTCACCTCCTGCAGGCCAGACTGACTGTGGATGCCCTGCCTCCCAAATAAACAAGCAGAGCTACAGGGCAGAGGTAAAGGAACCCAGATCCCAGGCTACACTCATGTGTGAACTCCAGAAATATAATCTTATTAGTTGATTCTTAAGAAACTGAGAGAAAAACAGAATCAGTTTTTTTCTTAATTTTAATTTTTTTATTTAGTAAATATAAATTTCCAAAGTACAGTTTATGGATTACAATGGCTTTCTCCGCCCCCCATAATTTCCCTCCCACTCGCACCCCTCCCATCTCCCACTCCCTCTCTCATTCCATTCACATCAAGATTCATTTTCAATTATC